TAACACTGCTGACAATCAAAGACAAGCTGAATAAAGAAGCAGAAAGAGGGCATCAAGATTATATGAGATTTTACAAGCAACAAGTTGCTAAGAGGAGTCCATAGAAAGCTAATCAAGATGATGATTAGAGGATTAGTACCACAAATGGCAGAAGATATGAAATTGTTTTGTTATTGGAAAGATACGGAAGAATATAATTTAAAACTAGTTAAACCTAGTAAAATTTATTGATAATAGATATAGCTTAAATAACTGATGTTACTAATGTATATAAAGTGTTATGATGAGTATAATTGCATATGAACATTGAATGGTACCCATGTAAGGAAGATTAGCAATCCCTTTGGATTATACATAAAGGATAACAACAACAACAACAACAAGAACCATGGCAGCATAAGATATGTGGTCAACTTGAAGATATGTGGACTTCAATGCCTGCTGGCTGGGGAATTCTGGGAATTGGAGGTCCACTTATATTAAACTTACTGAATGCTGATCTAGAGAATTCACAGAACTCAGAACTGCAGAGAATTCAATGCCAGGGAGAATTGGCAGAAGGCGTTTCCCCTCCTCCTTCAGCAGCTGTGGGCAGGAGACGGGGCTGTGGCTTCAAAGCCCTCTTCCCGTGCTTGTAACCATCGCCCCCCCCCCACATGCCATTCTTTTCTAGGTCTCTCCTGTTAAGCTCCCAGTGGTGGGGATCGTCCGCCTAGGAGAAGCACCGGATGCTCCCTTTAAGAGCTGCGTTTCCAGGCCAAAGCTCTGCAGGGAAAGGAGGAGAGGGATGAAGGCCACTTGGGTTCTGCACAGAAATAGGATTTGGGCAGCCAGGAGACCACCTGGGGGGAGGCTCGGACCCTTCCCCCGGCTTGAGCGCTGCCTGTGTGTGTCCAGAGAGGTGGGAGAGCCGCGTCTCAAAGCCAACGGGGGACCTGGGTCTTCTCAGGGGGGAGACTCGCCTCTTCTCCCTTCACAGTGGCGCTTGGGGGCACCTTCCCTGGCTGGCTGCGACCCAGAGGAGCCCTGCGGTGGGTGAGGGAACAGGGGATCAGACCTCCTGCCGGCCAAAGACCTGCAGGTGGCCTGTTCCAAAAGGAAGAGTCTCTCCTCCGTAAACAGAACGGGACGGACGTGGGAGGGAGAGCCTGGCCAGCCTCCTCGTCCAGGGCCAGGGCAGGCGTGTGCCAAGAGGCCGGCCCTGCGGCCACCCGCCTCCCTGCACTCTGGAGAGCAGCCGAGGGGCCCTTCGGTGGCGGCGAGGAAGAAGAGCGGCCGATTCCCCAAAAGCAGCTGCTGGAGGTGGGATCCAGGGCAGGCAGAGCTAACAGCTATTCGAAGACTCTCGTACCTGCGGAACAGGGCACTGCCAGCGGCTCCCCCTCCTCAGGGCTCTCGGCCATCTGAAAAGGGAAGATCAGCACCTGAGTTTGAGGAACCAAGAGGGCACCCAACTCTGCCATTCCGGTCAAAGTTCCTCTCTTGCCCCTGGCTGCCTCCTGCCGTCTCCCTGCTGGCTGGGCTCTCCCAACAGCGGCTGCCCTGGTGCCCATCTCGGCCGGCCTCTCTCTCCAAGATCTGCTCCCAATGGCAGACTCTGCCGGCCAAACTGGGCTCTTTGAATTGGCCTCAGTCTTGGGCCACACGGGCTGGCTTGCCAGGCAAATGCCCGCTGGTGCTAGCTGGCCCCAGCAACCAGAGACGTTTTCCTTGGGGGCTTCAGCAGCCTTCCCCCAGTGCAGCCCCTGCCACAGGCGGCCGGCCTCCTGTTGAAGGCCAGTTCTCCTCCAGTCTCCCCATCATCCAGGGAGGAGGGAGCGGAGGAGAGCTGGATGGCTGGGAGGCCAGCGAAAGGGATGCCCAACTCTAGCCGCCCCCCAACCCCATTTATCTCCTGTGCTTTTTCGGAAGTGAATCTTCAACCTGAAGAGTTTCTCCCAACTGTGGCTGAGGCCATTCTCAGCCCCCCCCCCCATCCCAGCAATAGGGATGCCCCACACAGTCGTTTCCTACTACTCTGCCCACCTGGGATCCCCCCCCCCCCCGAAGGAGTGATTTGCCTTCGTTACTCCACAGCTCACCTTCATCTTGGCCCCAAATGTCTCCTTGGTGCCCCATCTCCTCCTCCCCACTATGAGCAGCCTCAGGATGAATGCTGGCAGGAGGGGCAGGAAGCAGCCTAGGAGAGGGTCCCCTTCCTCCAAGGGGATGCAGAAAGGAAGGCCAAGCAGCCCCTCTCTCCTGAAGTGGACTCCCACCCCACCAGGCCGCCCCAGGGCTCAGGGAGCCTGCCTCTTTCCTCGTGCGGCTTTTGGGCCCACCACGAATCCTTACCGGGCACAGAGGGCCGTCTGGACGGGAGGCTCCTGGGCTGCAGCTCCCCAGGAAGGCTGCGGTGCAGGACGGGGACTTCATTTCTGCTCTCTGGCTGCACCTGGAGAAGGGCAGAAGGGAGCAGGGGTAGCCAGGCCAGGCCCTCCCGACTCTCCCCAGCTCCCACTGATGCTCGAACCTGTTTCGCCCCTAGGGGCACCTAATCCCGACGGCTGTAATCATTTTAATGTCTTTTAATGTTTTTATGTTGTAAGCTGATCTTGGATACAGGATGGGTGGCAAATAAATTTCATAGTAAATAACTAATAAATACTCCTGCCTTCTGTTCTCTGTGGCTAAATTGGGCTAAAAACCCCAGCACAGGGGTCTCTGATCAAAGGCAGAGCAGGTGGGGGCTGAGACCAGCTTTGGAGAATAGCTTGACCCCCTCCTCTCTGGGCAGCCCCTCAGAATCCAGAAGTCTGCTATCATGTCCCCCCTAGTCCTTCTTTTCACTTGATTAAAGATAACGGTAATATGAAAATATGATGTAAATGTTGAAACATGCTTAATAAAAACATTAAAAAAAAATAAAGATAAAGGTTCCCCTCGCACATATGTGCTAGTCGTTCTCAACTCAAAGGGGGAGGTGGATCATCTCCGTTTCAAAGCCAAACAGCCAGCGCTGTCCGAAGACGTTTCTGTGCTCATGTGGCTGGCATGACTCTGTTAGCTGTTCGCTTCCCACCAAAGGTGGTCCCTATTTTTCTACTTGCATTTTTTACGTGCTTCCGCACTGCTAGGCTTGGCAGAAGCTGGGGCAAGTCACGGGAGCTCACTCCATTACGTGGCACTAGGGATTCGAACCGCCAACCTTTCTGATTGACTAGCTCAGCATCTTAGCCACTGAGCCACCGCGCCTGTCACTCGATTAGCGAAACCGAAATCCCGCAACCGGTCCTTCATATATTTTAGTCTCCAGGCCTTTAATCATCCTCTTCTCCGCATTGTCTCCAAAGTTCTTTTTTCGTAATATGGTGACCAAAACTGGGTGCAGGATTTCAAGTGTGGCCTTACTAAGGACTTACAAAAGTGGTAGTTTTATATACAGCTTGAAGGGAGCCTGGAAAGCTGCTGCTGTTGTGAGGCAAACAAGGGGGGGCCTTTGGCCACAGGTGTTCCCCCCCCCCCACATACCCCAGCTGAACATGGA